TGTGTTAGTTCTAGTTTTGCACTAGCACTATCACTAGAACTAACACTAGACCGAGAACTAGAAACATTCGGATTTAGCCGCACGTCTCTCAAGACGGCTAAACCCGAATGATTCTAATTCTAGGTCTTGTGTTACTTCTAGTGTAAAACTAGAACTAATACTAGACATAAATGAAATGTATAATATAAAACAGTTAATAACTAAATAATATAACCTATCTATTAGACAGTTTATTTTCCAAAACATTTTTAAGGATTTTTATTTAATTTTTGTAAATTTTTAAAATATTTTGTATTTAAGAAGAAAAACTTAAACTTATACCTAATCCCAACATACCTTCAAATTTTTCCATCAATTTGTAAATTAATTTACATGTTTACATTACATGTTTACTAATTGAATTAAATATATTAGTATATCTCATAAAAAGTTTTTACTTTTTCCTATATTATTTTAATTATTTGAGAAATATAGAGAATTTCATCCCTTTTATATTACAATCAGAGTTAATAACATTTTATGGATAAATTAAAGCATATTCTATTTAAATAAATAAATAAGTAAAAAAAAATATTGTTTTTTGATGTCATGAAAATGTTCGTACACTGATTCTTACTTCATTATGTTTATCGGTTCATTTCGTTTAACTTTGGTATATCAATTCAGTTAGGGATGCAAACGATACATCGATTTTTCGAAAACATCGATGTTGACGTCCATAAAACATCGATACATCGTTCATTATGAACGAAATTTTATCTTCGATGTTTGATAAAATAATCGACCATTATTTCCATGTTTGTATAAAAGAGCAATCAAATATTTGCCACTCTTAGCAACTTCGGAGTCCAACGAGCGATTATTCTCAGAAGCTAGTGCAACAATTAGTCAGGAAAGGAATCGCATATTAGGCACCAGGTTGTCCAAGCTAATGTTTTTGAATTCGATACTTAAAAATAAATTTAAATAACTACGTATTTTATCATACTATGATAAATATTATTGATTATTATGATCATTCTTATAATAAAAATTCACCCACTCAATATTTTTTTTAAACATGGATGTATCGGTATAAAACGTCGATGTTCTAATATCGATATCTTTATGAGCGATGTTGCATCCCTATGTTCAGTGCGAAAATTGCATCACATTTACAACATCAATTTACAATGAGCGTCCGTAGAAAAGAAACTAATGAAGAATTAAGAAATTTAATTGGTAAATTCAAAAATGAAGGGAAATCGCAAAACTTGTTAGTAAACCACAATCTACATTGCAATATATCATAAAAAAATTCAAAATGAATAATAATGTGAGCAATAAACCTCGCGCAGGTCGCCCTTCGAAGTTAAACTCACGAGACAAACAAAATATTATTCGTAAAGTATTAAAAGAACCTATTTTGAGTGATCCAATATTGGCAGCAGAGGTGTTGAAAGAAAGAGGAAAGGATATCCATCTAGAGTGTATTTGGTATGGAATGTGGTTTTTATTGATGAAATTATGGACGGTCTTAATATATTGAAAGGAAATTTGCGTGCCAGCGTTTATAAATTAAATCTAGGAAGGATATGGATATTTCAGCAGGATTATGATCCTAATATATATGGTATAATGTTCCAAAGCAATTAAATTCTCAACCTCAGTCGCCTGACCTAAATCCCATAGAACATTTATGGGACGAAATTGAAAGAAGAGTGTGAAAAAAATAGGATAATGGGCAAAGCCTCCCTTAACGCTTCTTTAATTTTGAAAGAATGGGAGAATATTAAGCCAGATGTTACTACAAATTTAGTATCGTCGATGCAAAACTATTTTAGAACAGAAAGGTGGACTGACACGATACTAGTTATTTATTTAATAGGATTTTTCTTCAGTTATTTTGTTAATAATTCGTGGTACGAACACTTTCGTGCGATCAAAAAAAGTAATTTATCTTTGTTATCTTTTTTAAATCTTACTAGAAGCATATATCTTAATTTTAAATCATTATTAATCGTTGAAAATATGTAAATTGTTTCATAACAGTTATAAAGAAACGATTATTTTGTTCATAATTACGAATTTTTGACCCGTCTTTTATTATGATTAAACAAATAAGTAATAAATTCCTAACTACAGTTTACTTAAAATCCCCCTTGTTTTAAAACTCCCGCCAAAAAATAGCATTTTTAACTTTTCATTTTAATCCTCCAAACTAAAAAAGAGCATAGAAAGTTAATAAATATTTTGAAGGTGTTTTTGGGAGATAATTATGATGTATTAAAACGATAATTTTAATTGAGTGATTTTTTAATGAAAGTGAAACGATTTTTATGTTTTTTTTTATTATTTTAACACACATCACAAGATTGGAAAGTTTTACTTTCAATATTATTAAATTTTAAAACGAATTAATGTGTTTATTAACGAAAACGTTCTAATTTTAGGAATGTTTAAAAAATGAATAAGATTTTTTTGAGGTTGATGACAACGATTGTGAAGAATTTTAAAGGTGATAAGGTTTAATGAGTCATCGTAATGTTTTATTTAACACAAAAAATCTATAACCAAAATAAATTTAATTTTATTAATTCTAACCTAACTTTTAACTGTCAATTTGACAGTTGAATTAAAAATGTCAAAATGACAGTTAATAAAAACATTAACCCCATTAGGGTTATTTAATTAATTTCAGCATTAATTACATTTAATAAACTCTTAAAAGCGTAAATAAAAATACTTGTTTACGAACCATGTTTCGTCGTTTGAGAAATCCATTTCTTCGACATTGATAAAATCATCATCTTGTAATAAAAGGACTTCATAGTCTTTTGATAACCCGATTTTTCCACAACTACTAGAATCGTCGCTTTGCCGCTGGAGATGTTTAACTTTGGTTAGGATATCGTTTACTTGGCTGGACAGCTCCATTCTAACCAATGGTTTAATCACATTTGTTTATTAACTTGTTGCCAGTAAAGCGGAATTTCCTGTAACAAATAATTGGAGGTTAAAAAAATTATTGGTTCGTTATGAAAAGTCAAACATTTCAATACTTACGTTTTAAACAAAAATAACAACGTAGTTTGATGTAAGTAAAGAACACAAAAAACATTTACAACTACGACCGTCCATTCCACTTTCTTTAAGAGCTACCATCTTTTAAATAGGATGCTCTATTTGTTCAAAATGCATCGATCTCTTTTTATCTTTATCGTTTTCCAATTTGTTATCTCTTTTTTAAAAGGATTTACGGTTGGGGGAATTTCAATTTTTAATGTTGGTCGAGGACTGTCATATTTTATCACGGATTTAAATAAATATGGAGGCTGTATCTTTTGAATGTAATGATTAGAAAAGGAGAGATGAGTTTGTTTTAAATGGGAGAAATGAGATGAGTATAGTTTGTTTGTATTATGTAAATAGTTGTTGAGGTATAATCCAATAATTATTTGTATTTTTGTTTTTTAACCTCAATGTGTATTTGTAGAACACAAAATGAATAAAAAGCACCTCTTCGTAGAATATTTAAGCAACGTAAATACCGTAATAAAGCAACCACTACAACAAACGCAACGAATTAAGGTAGATTGAGTTTAAAAATAAACTTTAATTTAACCATTAATTTTTAGTTCACTTCGTTGGATGTATCCCAAAATTATATTGTGTTTGGTGCCACAAGCGGTGGTATTTATATTTTTAATCGATACCCTAGTAAATTTATTAAATTACTTCCAAATAAGGTAATAAAAATTCAAAATTGATTTATAAAAAACACAAAAATCTTTTTTTTTTAACAGGAAGGAAGCATTACAAACATTTCCGTATCTTTAGATGAATGTGCAGTGGCAATAACTACCGTAAAAGGCCTTATTGTTATCATACAAAACTGTTTTTTAGATAATGGGCTAAAATATCAAATTTATAAGGAACATGAGGGAAAAAATATTACTGCTATAAAATGGCAAGTTAATGAATTGTATGTTGGGGATGATTTTGGGAAAATAACTGTGATATCATTACCTTCTAAAACAGTTAGTTTATTAATTTATTAAGGAATTATTTTATATTCTAATTTAATAATTTTTTTAGTCAAAATCTTTATTTAACATTCCAAGTGCAACTTTAATGACTTTAGACTCATCTGTAGTACAGTTAGATACATTTTCTAATTATTTACTAGCTTCAACAAGAACAAAGACTTATTTATGCGATACTGATAAAGAACAATACAGACAAATTGGAAAAAAACCCCGTGATGGTCATTATGGTGCTATTTTTCATCTTAATAAAAATTCCTTCAACCAGGATGATGTTAAAATTTATTGTGCAAGACCTGGTTGTAGAATTTGGGAAGCTAAATTTGATGGCTCTGTAACTTGTACTCACCAATTTAAAGAATCTCTTAATAATAACACTTCAAGTATTATTCATGTCAATAATAAAGAAAATTTAATGCTAAATGTATCAAAGTCTAAAAGTAATCCAACAGGATTTAATTTTGGAAAAATTTTTGTGATTTCCAATTTAATTTTATCATTCCAAGAGGATAGTATTTACATTTTTGATATGAACACTGTAAAATTATTATTTTGGACGAACTATTTCAATGGCATAAAAGATGTAAAAATTTTAGATAATTCACTTTACATTTGGTGTGGTAAACATTACTTAAGAACGCTTTATTTAACTGATATTGAGGATTTTGTTCATATCACTTTATCAAAGAGACAATATCGATTGTGTTCTGAATTTTGTTCAAATCATACAAGTGATATTTTGAGATTAATAAGTGATGGGAAATTAGATAAATTAAAAGTTTTAAAAGAAAAAGTCGTCGATGATTCTTTATTAGATGGGTTAAAAGAGATTTTAAGTAATTTAAGAGATGATAAAATTAATCATACTTCCCAAAAATTAAAAAATGGTATTTATGTAGTTAATTCTAAACCACAAGATGAGCTAAAATCTAATTACGCCGTTATTATATCAGAAAACGATGAAAAAAAAGTTAATGGAGAAGATAAATCATCAATTGAGATTTTATATAGCCAATATCAAATAAATAAAATAAACAATTCCGTTGATACACCAAAATATTTATCGTTAATTTATGATTTAAATAATTTCATTAAATTATATGAACCATTTATAAATTACATGGTTTTAGAGAAAAACGAAAATGAATTTGAATTAAAACATTGGTTCTTTAATTCCACACTAAAATACATGTCAAATAATTACACAACAAAAGTTTTTGAAAATCTCCAACACAAAGACGTTTTAGAATTCGTAAAAAACGCTTTTATTGAAATCAATAAATCTGAAGATAAACATTCCTGTTCATGTTCTTACCCACTTCCAACAGCAAAAAGCTCTCAATGCCACTACTTTAATGTAGGCTGTGAAATTTTAAATAATTACTCAGATAATTTATCAAAACAAAAAGAGATTTTAATAAACGTTCCATATATGTTTAAATACTTATTAAGCAAAAGCGAAGAATTTAATTTATCTTTAATAATCCAATACGGAGATATACAAATACTTTTAAATTTCTTAAAAGAATTTACTTACGATACGTGGGATGAAGCGTGTAAGTTATTTATCAAACTAAAAAGTAATCTTTGTTTAAATTGTGATTCAAAAATACCCGACTTTAATCGCACCGATTTAAATTGGACTCATCTCGGCCGGATTATGTTAAAATCGTTAAACGCGACGAGTACTATTAATTTATTAACACGTTATTCGTTACAAATCGAATCGGGGGAATTAAATGAAAATTTTTATCAAACTTGCATTTTAACATCATGTCTGCAAAGTAACGGGAGTATTCTTAAAGATAAAACGGAAAAATTAATTGAAAAAATTAAAGAAGATAAAGTAAGAAATGAAATTAATAAAATAATAATTTTATTTAAAAAAAATTATTTTTTTTAGATTGGTGATATCGTTGGAACGTTTTTATCTAAAAAAAATTTGGGTGGGTTTATGTCGAATGGACTTGGAAGTTCACAATATTGTACGATCTGTGATGTACCAAAAATGCCTATTTTAGATGAATTTATTAGATTAAAATGTGGTCATTGGTGCCATAAGATTTGTTCTTTAGATATGAATAAATGTAAACGATGTGATCAATTGTAAAGGGAAAAAAATTAAATAATATTTTAAAGAAATTATTATACAAGATTTGGATACGAGCAGGTATAAGGTATTTTTTGATAATTTTTATTTTTTAATATACATAACTGATCCTTTTTTTGTATTGGTACTATTAAGATCTGAAATGAATCTGATACAAAATCATCATTTTGTTTTCTCTACCAATTTTGGCTTTGTATTCGGCCAGGATGAGGAGATATATGTATCAAACAAGACGAATTATTTTGTTCTACCTACAGTGTTTATTAGCGCTTATATATTTTTTCTTACTACTCCAACCAAACTTACTAAAATAATGTCATAATGTGAATAGGCTGCCATTTTACGCCTGATTTTACTGTCTGATATCAATCAAATGCACCCTTCTGAGTTGATGTACATTTGTGGTTGCCTTAGAGCATTTTGAAATGTTGCGCGCAAACATTGATTTCTTCCTCAATGTTGACTCTCATGACTTGCAAGGTTTGTACAAAACTTGCAAGGTTCAAAACTCAAAACTGAAGATCACACAGCCTGGAAATTAGTGCTACAAAATGTCCATCGTTGCCCAAATTATGTAGGAACTTTGGAACCAACATTGCACAAGACCCGGCTTGCGGCAAATACGTCTGTAGCGTTCAAAAGAATAAGGCCAAAATCGTACCAAACAGTTATTTTGATGCATTTCGTCATACACAAAACTATTCGTGTATGTATTTCATATGGGATATAGGAATCATGACTTAATTAGTCTACAACTTGATGACCAGTTTTAGGTTAATACAATTTTGATCACTGAGCCTCGGACGCAAAAGATCTCGGCTTAATTACTCAAAAAAATTATAAGTACCTACACTTGATAAAGGCTACTCATGGCCGACTGTACAATATGATGACCTGTTTCAGGCTGATATAATCACTGCGCCTCGGCCGCAAGCAACTTTGGCTTAATTCAAAACATCTACATCTTCACCTGATACGTATTTTTGAAAAGCTGTAATATTACGATGTATGTACTAAGTTTTTGGCGATGATCTACGAAAGTCGATGTCACGAGTTCGCTTAGAGATGGAAAATTCTCGAGAAAAAAAAAATAGAATATTCTGGATTTTGAAAATTTTCTGAGAATAAGCTTTTAAATACAAATACAACTCAGCAAATTCAGTCTGACGGCTATAACGTGGCATGGTTCATATTTATGGGATTAATTACTATGGAGGACTTATTTATGATGTTTAGAATATATTTGGCGTAAAAAAATAATTTATTCTTTGAAAAAAAAAAACAAAAACCAGTATGAGAGAAGCAAAATTAAACAATTATTAGTTCGAATCTAATGAATTTTCAGACAGCTCTGGCAAAGTTTCCAAATCACTATATTCAATCACTTCTATATCAGAAAGGTCTTCATTGCCTTCATTAACCTCCACATTGGTGGCAGAACCTAATAATTTTAAATTATGAGCAATGAAAGTTATTTTGCCAGCTTGTTCGGCTGTAAGCCTATTTCTTTTCGCAGTGTGAATAAAGCTGTAGGTGCTGAAACTTCTTTCTGTTGCTGCACTCAAAACAAGTCTCATTCCACCATACAACGGGATGTAGTTTTTCCACGGATTTTAAAACATGGTTTTCCAAATAACCGTTCTTTAGATCGATAAAGGGCCAATTTTGCCATTACCTCTGCAGACTCATCTGGACTTGTTACAGTAGCCATATTGTCTATAAACTCTGTTCCTTGTATTTGTTCTTCTCTATTAAGATGAATTCCATTAAAATTTGGATCTAGAAATATTTGCAGCAAGATGGATTGGATTTATTGCCATTGGCTTTCTCTTAACTAAAAAGTTTTTTACTTCCGATTCCTCTTGATTAAGCAAAGGGCTTGAGGAAAGATCTGTTCCAAAGTAACTTCCCAACTCATAAAAGCATTCAGCTACTTGACTTAACCTTGGTTTATCTCCTTGCAGTTGGGTTATGTATTTAAGAATAGGGTTTATTAAGTGATGAAAGTTTGAAACTTTCACCCAAAAAATATCCTCATCCAATATCAACTTTGCAACTCGTTTACTGAGTATATCTTCAACTGTTTCACAAACTGCTGAGGTTTTTAATACATATTTTGTATCAAAAAGACTTTCTAAACTATGAATAATTGATCGCCATCGTGTTTTTACAGGTAATTTTAAGGAAATCGCTGCTTTGGTGTCATTTCATTCAGTTTGCATTTTTTAAGTAGCCAATAAAATGTGAGAATTGTTAATTTCTTTGATGTCAGTCTTAACATCTTCCATAATAGTTTTCATTTTTGAAATGTCTCCAATTAACAAATTTAGCGTATAAGCAATGCATCTATAAACAGAAATATCTTTGTACTTTTCATGAAGTATATTTCTTGCTGTAACCATTGCACTGCTATTTTCAGTTACTATAGCAAAGAATTTTTCAGTACCAACTTCTCTCAAATCTTCATCGATTTTTCAGCAATATATTCTGCGGTATGTTGACAAATATTTGTTGGCAAAGTTTTATAAAAGCAGGGTTTGGTGTAGTAATAATAAAGTTAAGTATGGATTCGTTCCTTTGGTTGCTCCAACCATCACACTGTAAGCTAAGAGCATTCGCTTCTCCAATTTTCATTTTAATGTCTGCATCAACTTTTTCATACTCGGAGTCCAGTAATTTATTTGATAATAAATAACGTGTAGGCATTTAGATGGTCTCAAATGTTTGAAAAATGATTATTTTCAACAATGGCAAATGGAGTACCTGTAGCATAAACAGCCCTAACTAATAGTTGATCTAGCTCCTCTTTTTCAACTTTTGATGAAATATCAATAAAACCATCGAGTGTGAAACTCGATGAGGGTCTGTTAACTTCTGATTATGATGATGCTGTATCATTCAACCATTTCATCGTCATGTAAAACTAAAATTTAAGAAAATAATTTCCTAAACCGCCCGAGTTTTATCAGGACCGACAGAGCATGATGCACGATGAGAAAATTACCTCGGAGAATTTTCTAGTGGAGAATATTTTCAACAATTTACTATCCCACTCCTCCTTCTGCGCAACTGACCGGCCAAGATAGATTTGGCAAGCTGTACCTGTATAGTAAGAAATGGACTTTCTCGCTCATTAAGATTTTGTATACAAAATTATTGTCTTCTTACTCTAGATTTGAGTTCTTCATTGTTCGTTGTTAATTATATATTTGGTCTCATTTGCAAAAATTATGATACATTCACATTATGACATTACTACCTAGTACTATTATTTCCACATGTCATGTGCCATAGACAGAGATATAAAAGGTGTGACTTTATGTCTATGATGGTGCATGACCTGCATTTGGAGTCCAAATTATGGCTTTTTCAGCTTTTTCGCCGTTTGTATGTTTTCAACTGCTTTCTGTTTGTTATTTTCTTTATTACGGTCCTTTGTATTTTTCTGACCATTTTTTCAACTCTCTTCTCCTCCATTGGTATTGATTATACATGTTTTCTACACTATTTTTTCCTTTTTTGTGTTTACGACCCACACATTTTCTAAAATTTTCATAGGCTATTCCTCATCCTATTTCTTCGTCGTATTGATGTAGTTTTATCAGCTATTTGTTCATGCTTTTAGCTTATATCGTTAGCTAATATCGAGTTTCAAAATTTATTGAGCTACATTTTAAAGCTGCATTCGAGTAACTGCTTTAACTATAATACCAAACCTTTTGTCTTCTCGTATCCAATGAATCGATATTTTTTAAACATGTGTTAGAAATGAAATTAGAAACTTAGAAAAATGTTAATTACGCTTTTATTTATGTCTGTGTGAAAATAAAACAGGAAAAGTGAGAATCGAATTAATTTCCCATTTATATTGTTTCCTTAATAATTTCTTCTGAAAATAAATATGAGACCAAAGAATACTAATTTCAAGATGTTAGGGTTTCCTTGGTAACACCTTCATTTTTAGGGGTGCAACCCTAAGTTATATTTAATAAGGGGATCAATTATGAAGAGTAAGAGTTTTCTTTCTGACGTTAATTATAACCCGTATTTTTTTTAAGGGGGTTCTTTTTTGGTGACGAAAGAAAAATACCATCAACGAGGTTAATGTAGCATAAACTCTACGGGGTGCAATGATTTTTAATGTTCTTTGGTTTCCTCAATAAATTTTTTCCGGGTCAACTAGTCATGATAAAAAAATTTTTTGGTAAAAGAAAAATAAATTGTCTCAAACTTTTCTAACTGTAATAGATAAAGTAACACGTGACACTTTTTGATTACCCGATAATTTTCTTTTTTATTTCATTATTCCTGTTATTGATTGTTCTTGCCCGAGCTTTCAAACAATTAACCCCGCCAATAAACCATATTTTCTCTTTCCCTTTTTTTTTCAGTTTTCATTTAATTCGCCCTTTCACATCCAAACTTGATTTTCTTTTTTAAAAATCCGTCGAAAAGGTATAGAAAAAAACATTTAAGAGAAAAAAAAATTGTCGTCTTTTACTCTTTCCTTATTCCCCTAACAAATCCTTGATGGGGGGCGGCAGGTTTCGTCGTGCAAACTTTTGGCGAAACTGTACTGGTGATTCCAAGACGCGCCGTAGTGAGAGGGTAGTTTTCCCTAATGAGGTGGACGTTTGTGTTCTCGGCGCGAGCCCGGGGGTGAAACAAAAAGAGGGAAATTTGGCTAATATCGGGTTGCCTATGGGGAGATTCAAGAAAACGATCTTATGGATCATTATCGCTATTCCTTTTGTTTTCATAAGATTCTGAAAGAATATTTTCTTTTTTATTAAGAATAAAGTAAAATTCTTATATTTTTTTTTATTTTAAAAAGAAATGGGATTAGATAACCAAAAATACTTTAAGTTTTAATTACAAATTGCTTTTAAAGTATTTTCTTCGATAAATTACTTAATTTACTACTTTAATTATACAGGGTGATTTATTAGCTCATCATCAAACTTTGACATTATAATGAAATTATAACACTTTAAAATTTTTTGTGGCGATTTTATTAATAGTCAGTAAAATCAAACATTCAACAAAAAGAAAGTTGTCATTGTAATATGTTAGTTTGCTGTAAGGTTTAAGATTGGCCTGCTTTCAGAAGATGCGCAAGAAACTGGGAATAAAGACTTTAGAAGGTATAGAGAGGACTTTTCCAGAAAAATGTCAAGAATACACAATAATAGAGATTTTAAACGAACTATTAATATCTTCAGACCCAATTATAACATCATTTTATAGCAAGAAATCAAGGAATAATACAGATTTTTGTGAAGAACTTCTCTGCTTTGAAAATGATGAAGAAAGAAATAATTTTTTATCGCCAATTGCAACTAATATTGAAATTGTAAAACACACTGAGGACGAAGAAAAATAAATTTAGGTATAAAAAAAATTTTAAAACTGTATGTTAAAATACTAAATTTGCTTATGGGTTAAAACATAATTTATGGTTATCATTACATTATTAAATATTTGTCACAAATTAACACAGAAACAGAGAATAGCGTAGTTTACTCTATTATTGCAAATAAAATAATATTTTTTCGAAGACAGCTACATGAAAAATACTCAGAAGTTACGTAGAATCCATAAATGCAACAAAAAAATGGAGGTTCCTATTTTAAAATGTCAAAAATTGAGATTCCCAATTTTGGGACACCTATATATTTCAATTTTATCTCAAAAAATGCGCGTTAAAAAGTGTAACATAGATATTCAAGAATCTTTTCTGCATTTTTACCTTTCCTGGAGGATTCCCTGGGGTTTCATCCAATCTGGTGTGAATGTGTTCCATACTGGATGTCGTGCCTTTATTTTACCTACATACAAGAATAAAGGCGCGACGTCCAGCCTGGCACACACCAGCACCATCTTTTCCGATTAGACGGAACCTCCTTTTCCCACATGGGCTTTTTATATCAGACTCATGTTATCACGAACTTTTTTATTTTAAAGTCGATAGATTTGAAATAAGAATTAATTGCATTTAAAAAGCTATTAGTTTTGTTCAAAAACATTTTAATTTCACTCAAAAATTATTCAACATATTTTTTTATGTACAATTAAAAAGTGTAATAAAAACTGTAGCATTCCATTTAAAATAACGAGAACAGTTATTAAACAGAATACAAATGGCTGCTACTGAAATGAGAAATCAACCAGACATTTTAATTCGGCTGAAAAACTCTTTAATTCGTCCTTGTGAAGCATGTATTCTAGAAGAAGAAGGCTATTTTGAACAATATTTGTAATATTTGTGTTTTAAAAAAAATGTGGCAGTTAATTATGATATAAAAATTAAAACTTTAAAGTGTTATAATTTCGTAAATAATTGAAATAGGATCATATGTTAAAGTTTGATGGTGAGCTAATAAATCACCTGTATTTGATATTTGCTGAGTTGCCAAATTACACCTGTCACTTAACACCACAAGTTTAGAATATATCTTGCATTTATTTACTTTGCACAACTTTAATAAGACATGGTTTTTTTCTTATTTGTATGCCAAAGTTGTGAATTATAACCAAACATGTGTTAACTTCTGCACGTGTCATTAAATTAACCCCCTTTTGAATTGAAGAAGGGGTAAGTTTTTATGTTGCAATAAAAGGTATGGTTAAAAAAAGGGTTGCACCCTTTTATCTCACCCCAATACACTTTTTTTTATTAAATTCAATTTTATTTGTAAAATTTTGATTTATTTATTTTTTATTCCTTTATTATTTGTTTTTTTCTAGGATTTTTTGAAGAAATTAAGAAGATAATAAGAAAATTAAAGAAAAACTTTATTGAAGCAAAATATAGCAGGATTTTTCATTAAAAAGAAGTAAATGAATGAATTGCCTTTTAGATATTAATGAATTATCCCCAACAAGAACTAAAATCAATTTTTTTAATATCTCATCTATATGAAAATGAAGAAGGGAAATAAAAAGGGTTCCACCCTAACCAAATAAGTTAAAAAAGGGGTAACAACCCTCCTAAACTTAAAAAATAAAGGGTTTGAATCTAAAAAGGTCCCATCGGATTGGATGATGCGGAGTGATCGAAGCTGGAAGATCCATACTGGGTACGGAGAGGGGTCTCTCTGGTAGCAAAGGTTTCAGTGCTGTCTCCACAACCCTTAAGAGAAGCCATTTACATGACTCCACCCCTTCATTTTAAAAAGCATGCCCAGTATACATTTTCAATCCACCCTTTGATCCGTAGACTCCGAATACAAAATCTTTACGGAGCTTCCCTTTTAGTGTAAGTTGGGATGTGATGGAGTACACATTCCAAGTTTTTTGCATGGCTCCACCCCTTTATTTTAATCAATTTTGTCCATTTCATTTCAATTTGGATTTTGTAAAGGGTGGATGTTTTTGATCGTAGAGTTAGAGTCAAAAAGAATTGTGTGATTTGGTGTAGATTCTGTATAGGTTCATGTTCAAGTGTTTTAAAATTGGATAATTCTTGTGGGATAATTTCTTTATGGTGAGTAAATTTTCTGGGCTTATTGTTAAGGTAATTAATATCAATTTTTTTTATTATGCATGCAGTTTTTTTGCATAATTAACCCGTGGTAATTTCGCCGATATTTAAATAAGATTTATTATAATTGTCGATGCGGATGGGTTAGCTAATTGTGAGTATTTTACATATTTTTTGCAGCACCAAGTCATGATTAATGGTTAATAAATTATCATGCCAGACCGTCAAGGTTATTAAACGAAATTGCAGTTCATTAGCACGAATCTGTTTTGAATATTTAAATATTTTTAATGCATCAGAATATTTTCAAATACTTTCATTTTATCTAAGCTTTTAAATAACATAAATATATTTGTAAGTAGTTTTTCTCATCAATAAGAGATGGCGCTAGATGTATCCCAATTAAATTATGTTGCGAATTTTTACTTTAAAACGTAACATAACATTTTTTTTTTGCCACCTTTCATTTCCTATTTCCGTACCATTAAAGCTTCGAATTTCCTTTTAAATTTTCTTTACTAAATAAATATTTGACTACATTAACTCAAAGAGGTTTTCCTTGAAAAGCTTTGACTATAGATGGTTTAGCCTGCGACCTTCCTATGTGTACCGTAGGGTCGAAATGGTTGTAGGGTTGGAAAATTGTCACATAAAACCGTCCCCAAATCAGAGGGTTCGCCTTAAATCCCCTTTTCTTGGTTGAAACGTCTTGTTTTTTTCTTGTACTTGTTTCAATCTTCATCAAATATTCTTAAGTTATTTTTTAAACTAAATTTGGTAAATTTGGTGTATTTATATAATTTTTTTTATATTTCCCCTAACGTGTCGTTTTTTGTGTTGAGAAAATGGGGGAGCAAAAACCTAACATTATAAGATGACACTCAAATATTTTTGCAATTCGTGTAATGCCATAAGTTACTTTTACGACTCCCCGATGTTTGCTTTTGCATGTGGCGTTTTTTTATCACCACACCCCGCCTCGTAGAACGTTGTCCCCAAGGAACGTTATCCCAGAGTCCAGGAGACGTTAGTGCGGGGAGGCGAAAAAAGTGCCGGAAAGGAAATGGTTTTTTGAATGCCCCGTCGAATACGAGCTCTTTAGTATTTCACCCTTGCGGATTTTCGCGGTGACATGTCTAGAAAATCAATAAACCGTACGACTATGTGAATAAACTCATCCTCTTTACCATTCCTTTGCTACACAAAGATATTTTGTATTGTTTTAGAAAATAATATAAAGTGTAAGATAAATTGGAGATGTAAGATAAAAAACCTATATCATTAATCTTTAGCTAGACTTGGAATAATGTTATTTGTCAGGCACTTGTCACATGTTTATCGTTGTTGGAAATGGTGATTGTAAGGGTAAAGGTGTCCAAAAAAATGGCACTCATAAAACATATTATTTTAAGGATAGTTCTGGACATTTAACTCTTAGGTTGTCATTTTTTATCTTGGCATGTTCAAGTATTTCAAATCAATTGCGATAGCAAAATTGGATCATTGTGCTTAATATTAAATATGTATATTATTAAGGTTGGAACTTTGGCAACTTTGACAACTAATATAATACCTGGTGATGCGCACAATACAGATAACGTGCTCTCACGATGGAATTATTGTTATGCTAAAATAACGACTTATGATTTGACTCCCAACACGACTGGGCCTTACATCTGCAATCAGAAAATGTTTTTTTGACAAAAAGGAAATCGCTGTTAGACAAAATACCATAATTTTCGCCACAAAACGAATCTATGAAAGAGAATTTTTAGGCAAAGCAATGATGATATGGGAGGACAATGAAAATGAAGTATACACAAGAGAACCATGCAATGCCAACATTTTCTGAAGAGGAGCACCATCAAATCAGCAATCCTTTATGGATATCGTCTGATTTGACGCATGTGGCAGCACTATTTAGTATTTGTTTTGTCTTCTGCAACCCAATATCGTCATATTGTAAGGTTTGGGAGAATCAACTCGCTAGCGTGCAAATAAGAAAGAAGTAGGCGAAGCTGATTTTCCACCACTTGGGTTGCACCACTTATTCAATTAGATATCGTATCTATGATATCGTCTGATCTGACACATGTAGCAACACTATTCAGTATTTGTTTTATCTTCCGCAACCCAATATCATCATATTGTAAGGTTTGTTATAAATTGCTTGTATTTACAGATGGTCATCCACTCCCTGGCGCGCAAACAAAAAAGAGGTAGGCAAAGCTGAATTTCCACCACTTGGGTTGCATCAGATATCGGGAATCCAGTTATTCGTTAAATTCGTCAAAATTTACTGGCTATCAAAAAATGATCATACTTTCAAGGTTTTTCATTGATATTATAACACTGTCGATGTTATAAGAAGAAAGAATTACCAAAATAATAATAAGTCAAAATAGAAAAGTGATTCAATATATAGTTAAAACCTTGTTAAATCCTTCTGATTAGTTTGCAAAAGTAAAACTATACTCCGAGATGGTGAAGAAGAAGAAAACATTCAGCTTAGCAGATTTATCGATGATTTGATGAACACATGGAGCACATCTTCACGGTTTTATTCTCTTTGAAAGCAAATACCAACAAAAATTGATTTGCAAAATACAGGGTGTTAAAAATAGAATGTAATATATTTAAATAGGTAATTGTATGGACCAAACTAAACAAAAAGTCGTAATAAACATGGGTCCGCAAATGAACGAAATGAAAAAATAATAACCTTTTTGAACAACTCTTTCTGAAATCTTCTCATTGGCTCCAATTTGTTGGCATTGTTGATTAATTCGTAGCTGCAGCTCGAGTAATGTTTTCAAATATCCCCAGAAAAAGAAGTCTAGAGGGTATAAATCAGGCGATCTTGCAGGTCATAATACAGGTCCGCCTCTTCCTATCTATCTACGTGGAAAAGTTTGATTTAAATGTTCTCTAACCGCAATCGAAAAATGAGGTGGATCACCATCATGCTGGAACCACATTTGTTGCCTTTGGTCTAAAGGAAAGTGGTCTAAAAGATTAATTATTGTGTTCTGCAGAAAATTTAAATAAGCAGTCAGCAATTTCTCCTTCTGCTATAGAAGTACATACCAACCTTGATCTTCCAGATAAAGAGCATTGTATGCTTAATAAACTGGAATCACGCAATCTTTAGTGAATTCTTGCAAAAATACGATGTGAAAGAATCTCGATTTGAATAAGCTTCATCATACAGTCTTCGTAGTTCGGTGGCAATCCCATTAGACGACCATACATGAAATGCATGTCAGTTAATTCTGCGTTAGAGTAAGCAACCATAGCAAATGTCAATGTTTATTTCACAATGTTAAAAACCTGTGATAAGAAAACTACATCTTCGAAACCGTTCATTTGCGGTTCCATGTTTATTAATTTGTTTATTTTGGTCTATACTAATATCTTTTTAAATATTTTACATTCTTTTTAACACCCTGTAGATTAGTGATATATTTTGATTTGATGGTCAATTTGCTAATGTTGTAGAATGGGTTAATGAGGTTAATAATGTATAAAGTTTCTATGTGATTGAGAAAAATGTCTTCACTAAAAGTAGTGGATGTGATTTTTGTCAATACTTCTTTTTGAGGAAAAAGCAGAAATTTTGTATGGTGTTGTCTTTTAGCACATTTTTCATTGTTAAAGTATTTAGGGAAATATTTTCAATTTGGTATGATTTGATTCAATTTTCCACAACTTCATCAGGGTTTTTTGTCCAATTCCTTATATTCTGATTTTTCTGCTATCAAGAGTTGGTTTTGAAACTTGAAAATTTTGTTGCTTCTAATATTCTTTTCCAATAAGTATATAGAGTAACTACTTCCACTTTAATGTTAAATTTGTAGGTAGTGTTGAAAAATTTAGATGATTTTCATTTATATTAAAGTGACAAAATTCGTTTTTGTATAACTAAATAAGAAAATTATATCAATATTTGTTTTATTTAGGATATTTTGATGGATGAAACTGTCATAGAATCCTGTAATGGAAGTAAAAATCGAAGAAAAACCCGTCTCTTTTTCTTGCATACACATCGTCAAAGAGGGTGGACAGTTTGAAAAGCGGACGAGTTCTAGAGGCAAACAAACCTCGAAGGAAGAAAGCTCGACAGGACGACGGACTGTCGTTGTAGGAATGCAATAGTAAATCAAGATTGGATTTCAGGTTCCCCTTTCCAAAGACAGGGATCGCGAGGAGGTTAAGGGGGCGTTTCGCGCTAGTCTAATCTCGACCTAGCACTCGACCGCCGGACAATCCCTGGACTCTCTCCCGGACACAATGACGTGTCCGCCGATCAAAGGGCCGACCCCCCTTGAACGGACGCCCTTCCGCCGCCTCTCATTCAACAAATTGAAAAATACTCATTAGTTGGATGCTTGGCACCGGCGATTGTCGACGCTTGGAAAAAATCGGAAATTAAAGAAAGAAAATTCCAGGTATTCCCTGTGGATGTCGAAGGCTTTGTACGAACAATAGCACCTTCTTTTTCGATTTCTTTAAATTACTGAACCTTCTCTAAAAATCCAACCAATCAGATTTCTTAGAATTTACTTGAATGCGAACAAAAATGTGTAGATTTGTTTTTGTTTTAAGTAAAATGTGGGTTTATGAAACTAATTAACTGTCTCAAAACAGAAAACGGAGAGTAATTGTTCCATGGTTCGTGTATTATTTATAATCCGATCTCTCGGTTCTATTTAAATTAAAAATGAAACAATGACGGCGTTTATTGACCGTGTAGAGTTGCGCGTTGAATAAATCGAAAGACGCTTAATTGCGGCTGAATTCGAAATGATGAATCTCTAATGATGTACCAATTTATCCATTGTATTTGTTCGTTTAGATTCAAAACGTCCATCGAAAAGTTACTTGCTCAACTGCGTATCTAGATTATTCCAGTACGTTGGTTTCTTTTTCTCATTTGTTCTTATTTCCCAACAATTAATCCATTTGTATGAAATTTAGATACTCAGAAAATAAAATGTACCATT